CCTTGGAGTCAAGGATTCTGGGGCTTCGTCTGACATACTTTGGACATGTTGTCAGGAGGGACGGGTCCTTGGAGAGGGACATAATGCTTGGGAGGGTGGAGGGACAGTGCAGGAGGGGAAGACCCTCTATGAGAGGGATTGATTCGGTGACTGGGGTAATCGGGATGGGTGTGTCAGAAGCAGTGAGGTTGGCGCAGGACAGAGCAGGGTTTAGGGCTGTTGTGCATAGGGTCGCTATGAGTCACAAACGACTCGACGGCACATAACAACAACAATAGAAAAGTTAGATTTTCATTCATTCATTGTTACACATTTTGCCCCCCCACTCCTCTTCCCCTCCCCCAATTCACTTCTGTTTAAAAAATGTTTATTCACTGTTGCAAAATTGTTACACCCTCCGCACCTTCCCAGTCCTTTTTGCAATGTACCTCTTATTCTGGGCTGTTGTCACGGAAATACTCTTTTTGATGATGATTGCTACAACATTCTTCTTCAAGATCTCATTTCTGGCATAATTGATTATATGATTATCTGTCTCAAAGTGACTTAGAACATCTCCACTCACCAGTGCCTAACATGTCAATCTTTACTTGTTTGCCTATTGCTATGAACTGTCCCATGAGAAGTGCCTTAACTATATCCCAGAGGTTTTGATATGATGTGTTTTAATTTTCATTTGTTTTGAGAAACTTTTTATTATTATATAACCCAATAGTATTTTCATTGTTGTTGATTGCCTCCGAGTCGAGTATTAATCATAATGACCCTATGAACAAGGCTTGAAGCCCTTCTCCAACTATTGACATTTATCAAAGTTCATAGAGTTTCCAGAGGCATGTTATCTAGCACGGTATTATTTGTGCCAGTTTTTATCCTTTATATTTTTCTTGCTAATTTCTAGTTTTATGGCATTGTGATCTGAAAAGATACTGTGTATTATTTCAGTGCTTTTTAATTTTTGAGGCTTAGTTCCTTGATATAAGATCATTTCTGGAGAATGTACCATGTGCACTTGAAAAGAAAGTAAATTCAATTTTAGTTGGATGCAGTACCCTGAATATGTCCACAAGATCGAGTTGGCTATTGTATAGCTTAGATTCTCTGAATCTTTGTTTAATTTTTTTTTGAGTTTACCTATCTTTTGGTGGGAGTGGTGTGTTAAAGTCTTCTACCACTATTTTGATGCTGTATATTTCTTCAAGTCTATGAATTGTTGTTTCATGTGTTTTGTAGATCAATTATATGATGTGTTGATGTTGACCAAGGTTATGATTGATCTATTGATCTTCTTGATCTATTGGGCCTTTAATCATTATATAGTGCCCTTCATTTTATGGTGCTTTTCATCTTGAAGTCTGTTTTATCAGAAATTAGTATTGCCACTCCTGCTTTTTTTGTAGATGCCATTTGTGTGATATTACAAAGACAGCAGAAGAAAAGACCAAAATGGATGTCAAAAGTGACTGTGAATATTGCACTAGAGTGCCAAGAAGCCAAAGCAAAAGGAAGAAGTCAGGAAGTTAAGGAGCGGAATCGAAGATTCAAAGGGCAGCTCAGGAAGACAAAGCAAAGTATTACAAAATGTGCAAAGAGCTTGAGTCTGAAACAAAAAGAACTGAACTCGTTCAGCATGTCTTAAGCTGAAGGAACTAAAGAACAAATTCAAGCCTCAAGTTGCAATACTTAAGGATGCTATGGGCACAATATTGAATGATCCAGGAAGCATTAAAGGAAGATGTAAGGAGTATACAGAGTTATTGTATAAAAAAGAATTGGCTGACACAGAAGAATTTCAAAAAAATGACATATAATAAACAGGCAGTGGTGATGAAGGAGGACGTTCAGGCCACTCTGAAGGACTTGGCAAAAATAAAG